ATTTGAGCAAATAAACAAAAACTTGTGTTATGGAGTTATGACTATTATAACTACATTGTGGAATGGCAGGACTGAGGAATGACGACACACTGGCTGGAAAGGAAGAGTCAGGAACAAATTTGGAATCTTGAGTTCTAAAGATTTTTTTGGTTCTCAAAGAGGCACGTGATATATGCTGATAAGTGTTGTAGAAAGTTCTTTCTGGCAGCAAATGAAAGATAGCTATAGGAACTGGAATCAGTAGGATGAACTTGTTTATGTATTAGCTGTGTACCAAGAATTAGCGATAGGACTTTTTTTTCAAGATATATTTATTTGTCCATACTAGAACATTCCAATTTCATGGCTTTCCTGTTAAAAAATTAAATTCTGGTAAAATAACATAAAACTTCAGTGCACAAATAGTCATATATACATACATAAAATGCAACTAATTTCTAGATCATGGGTTCCCCCCATAATTCAGCTACATCATTTAATATACATCATCCAGGGAATTATCATATTTCAGTTGTCAGCACTACTGAGATTTGAATATAAAATAACACATATCTTTAAAATGTTCTCATTCATATTATAATGACCCTTTAAATATATTTAATTATTGAGATTGCTTACAAAATATTATTGCTTTAGGGGAATGGATTCACACCTCTTTAGATGTATGCCAGCAGCACACACCTACCACCACAGGGCCCCGTAGTCCTTTACCCTAGACTACTGGGCCCTCTCTCCTCTTGTTCACACATGGTCCTCCTTCCCTCTTCAGTTGGCTCAATTCTGTGGTCATATTAGGACTTATAACAACTCTATTGTTTTTACCAAAACAAGTATATGTACAGCACTAGCACCTAAAAATTCTGCCTTAAACATATATTACTATTCCTTTTTTTAAAGATTGATTTATGCATACAGAGCTGGGGTACAGGCCAGAGGTGCAGGGGCAGTGTGGTGACAGACAGAATGGGGAGCAGAACAGGCAGATTGACTGAAATACACTGTGGAGGGGAGCAGCAGACAAGACAGGAGAGGTCTGCTGTGCCATTTGGGTCACCTTTCGGCTGGAAATGGAACTCGTGCTGAAGCAGCTATGGCTAGCTTCATAGTGCTGTGCTTTGACCAGCTGGGCCACCAATGAGGGCCCAATTAGTATTAATTTCAAGCAACCCATAGCTTAATAAAAACTTCAGGAAAATGGATTAATTGGTTGTTTGGGAGTTGGTTTTCCATTTCTACACCTAGAACCTCTTTTCTAAAAACATTGCCCTCATTTTAATACATTTATATGATATAATATCAGTTACATGTGCTACTAGTACACAGTATTCCTTTTTGCCATCTTCAAGACAAATATTAGCAGCCAAGAAATAAATCACCACTCATAAGCCTGATGCTAAACAAAATTCCTGTCTACACGTGTATGTAGGTACCCACTCTTGATAAGTAAGTGAGCAGTACTGAACTTCTGTTAACTAACGCCCATGACCAAATCAAAGATGAACTGTAAATAAAATGTACAATAAACTGTAAAATAAAATGTCAAATATGTGATGGCTTTATTTTCACTTTATACTACCATCCCTATCGCCTCCTAGATCCAAAAGAAACCTATGTCCACATTGCTTAGAACCTTTAGTAAAACTGTAGGCAATTTTCAAACAATGAACACCTTGTTTAACAGATCAGCTACAACATGAGAATCTGCTTTCAGAATTCATTGTGCAATTGCCATTCTTCTCCTGTTTTTTCTCTTGGTATTGTTTTGCCATTTGTCAATTTGCTGCCCAAGGTTTTACTTCATTTTATTTCATCATTTACTTTTTGTGTACCATGTCTTCATTTCGTTCACTTCCTCATGTTGTATCATTTCTTGTCATCTCATCTCATCTTCCTCTGCATGGATGGTGTACTTTACTTGTCAGCTTACTGCATGTTAGGAAGTGAGATCGGGAAGGCTACAAAATAGATTTTTCTCCTGATCTCTCTGACACTTTTCCTGGGCTCTCTGCAGCTTGTAACCAGCCTCTGTATGTGGAAACAGTATGTCATAAAGGAGGTAATTACCAATGAGAAAATTCTTATGAGTTATATTATCAAAGCCTCTGTAGAGGAGACAAGAGCACTATTTCGCTCTTCTTGTTGCACAGTCTCATTGGAAGAGATGCCAAAAATGAAAAGGTTTCTTTTGTGGATACCTGGCTTAGAGAAGCCTAAAGAACAGTGGGTTTGGATTCTCTTTTTTAGAGGGCTATTATCCCTATTTTACAGATGAGAAAGCTGAGGACAAGAGATCTTTGATGATGTGTTATTCTAGCTAGTGAATGGCAGGGAGAGAATTAAATAGAGGCATTCTGGTGGCTCTGTGACCTCTAAAAGCAATGACAGGGTTTTGTGTTATGCAGGAGAATAAAACACGGTCTTGTCATTTCCGGCCTGGGATGTTAAATGGTGTCTGTCAAAAACAGCCTATTTTGGAGGAATTTGATAAATTTTGTTTGGGATGTGTTTTGCTGAGCATATTGGTGGAGATGGAGATGCCTAACAGTTGGAACTGGGAGGGAGAAGTTGGGTTCAGAACTCACAGAAATGGCTGGCAGCTACTTGACACCTAATAATTTATGTAATTAGTGTTTTCTAAACTTCCAAAGCCATGCCCTGACCTATCCATTTGCTCACCTCTCCATGCTTGCCACCTCTTCTTCCCTTATGCTGAGGTTTCCAGGAGGACTAAGTATCAAAAAAAGAATTGCAACAGCACAGAGGACTGACTAACTTGGTTGTTCATTCTGAAGGAAGTAAGATTGTCACTTAGAATCTGAGAATTTCACTTATACATTTAATTGCTCATGCAACAAATATTATCCAAGTATTTTTTGTGTGCCTAGTGTTAGGAAAATGATGTTGAAAAAAAAATAGACATATTCCCTGCATTTATGGAGCTCCAGGCTTAGTGGGGAAACAGACATTGACCAAGAAACCACAAAAATAATGGAATAGTTACAAACTGAGGTATCAGACCAAGCCTAAGGATCATGGAAGGAAATAAATTATGGAGATTTTTCCTACCCCCCTCTTCCATCTACTCCCACCCAAATCATACCATTAAATTTCACATGGAAAGACCATTTGAGAGAAACTCATAAATTTCCATATGCATTTGTAAATCTCTCAAAATGATTCGCTTTGACATTTCCATGCTGCTAGTCAACAGTATCCTTGCATTAATATTATCTGACCCCAGTCTTGTGAGGTAGGCAGGCAAGAATTCAAATCTTGATTCAAGAACTCAGATCTCAGAGAGGTTAGATGGCTTCCCTAAAATCTCTGCAAGTTAATGGTGAAGCTGAGATATGTCTTAAAACACCTAGATTGTGTTATTCTGATAATATTCATCCTCTCGTTCAGTCATTTGCCCATCAAATGTATTGATCACCTAAATGTGAGGTCGCTGACTGAACTAACAAGAGGCACTGAAGGGGTTTAAGAAGATAGGCAGCACAGTGCAATTCAGTTGGATGGTCTTCTGGAATAGAGGGTGGGGATTTTCAGAGTACAGTTGCAGACCACCTAAATCTCTGGGGTTGGGGTTCAGGAATCTTACCATCCGGCAGGCTAGGAATTTTTTTCTGATTCTAACGCAATAAAGACAGACACAGGATGTGCTGCAACCAGTTAATGTGACCAAGGGTGCAGCTGTGGTAACTGAGTGAGAGGTAATGAGTTACAGAGACAAAATGATGTACTTGGGAGGCATTTAGATAGTGTGGTGGACAGGACTTTCCACTCTTCCCACCCTTCCTGGCTGAGGTTCAGGAAGTGGAGCTGGGATTCCTGAGTCTTCCGGCTCCACGCCTGTGGACTTCACCCCACATGGCCCCTTATAGCCACGTCTTGGTTTTATACTTATTTCTCTTAGCACTTGTTTTCCAGCCCCCAGATTACCTCAAACTGACTCAAGCTTTGTCTTTCTCTCCTTCACTTCCACAAAGCTTAGATGGGAAATAAGGACAAACCAGGATGACCTTAAAATATTTATTTCTTTGTGGCTGAGTACAGGCAAGGAAAAAATAGATTATTTAGACAATTACAGACTGTGGAAGAGACACATTGGATCTTGCCCTGGGTAAGCCCTAGGAAGCCTTCCAGAAACCTGAAAGCAATAATCCCCCAAAACCAGAGGGTGACCCCATTTCTTACCCAAGGTTATTACTGGGTTACAGATGAGAGCAGTTCAGGAATTCAGGAAGCTATAAAGAAACCACAACAGTCACCTCCCTAAACATCAACATCAACAAGCTCAACTGTTAAATTCATGAATATTCATCTCCCTCCCACCAACAACCACAGCAGCTGGGTGGCAGATGAGAGCAAAGAAGAAGCTTTCCATACCCTTTTCCCAGTCTAGTTCATCCTCGCCCCAGGCCTGGGTTTTTGGCATGGCATCAGAGGGAGGCAGAACACTGAAGTCCCTCCCTTTGGTTGACAGAAGAGGCTGAGGACACTTCCTCATTGCCCAGTTGGTTATGATTAAAGCAAACTGAAGTAAAGGCCATGTTTAGCAGTGCCAGGGGAAGGCTGACCTGTCCAGCACCTGGCAAGACCGCAGGGCTGAGCCAAGCAGGTGAAAGTCTACGAGTAGCCTAGCGGGAAGAAAAGGAAGGGGAAGTGGGCGTGGCGCGGGCCTACCGGGGCATTCGGGGTGGGGCTTGCGGGCTCAGGGGCGGGGCTGGGGCGAATATTGGTCCAGATTGGATGGACGCGCCCCTGCGGGGAGGGGGCTGCGAGCCGTGGCCCCCGGCTTCGCGGCTCTGCCTTATATACAGCAGTGGCGGCGTCGGTGAAGCCAGCAGGACTGCAGTGCACGTGCCTGAACCTGACTGTCCTCCCGCGGCCCGGGAGTTCCCTTGGTCCTGGGTCTATTCGGTCCTGCCCCGAGGTTCGTCCCGTCCTTAGGCTCCTTAACCTCTCGCCAAATTCGGCCTCGACCTCTGCAGAGCGAAATGGCCACAGCCAAGAATCTCTCAGAGGAAATGGAGCGGCTGTCGCCGCCTTACGACTTCGAGCTGCTGCAGGACTTGAGGCCCCTTTTGGAGGAGTACTGGTGAGACCTGGGGGAGGGGCGGTGTCGTGCCGCCCGCCCCTCTTAGGGGACGGGGGTGAAACGGAGGCCACACTGTCTACCTGCAACGATTTTTCTTAAATGCAAAGGTATCGGATTCTCCATCTTGGTTGTCGAAGGTGCGAGCAGTGTGGCACCACAAAGAGACTGTATCTGGAAGAAAGAAAGGCAGAAAAAAAAAGAGGATGGAGAGAAGAAAGTGGGAGGAGACCAAACCAAAGGGGAAGAGTGTAGTGAGAGCCAGTCGCTGAGGAGTGGGTTGATTTGAACTCCTGCTCCTGCCTACCTTTTGGAGGACTCTCTTCTGTCCTCTGTGGCACTCAGTCCTTCCCATGTATCACTTTGTTCCCAGATGCTTCAGCTACCCCTCCATGAGGCGGCAAAACCAGATTGCTCTTCTGATATTTCCCCAGTTCTCTGGCTTTGCTGTCAAGCTCCTCAGAAGTGTTTGTGCATTGGCTTTGCTGCTTAGCCAGTTCCTCATCACTCAGCCAGGACAAGCTATTGCCACTTTCTTACAACCACGGCTCTGGGTTGGTTCCAGTTCAGGAGCCTAATGTCATCCCCAAAACCACTGAGAGCAATAATCTCACACACCTTGGACAGAGTTCCTGTCTTGGGCTAGGACTTTATACACATTAACACTGCCAGGAGAGGAGAATTCGTTCCCTTTTACAAATAAGGAAACTGATGTTTAGTGTAGGAAGCAGTTTTCCGAACATCACACAGCTAGTAAGAGCTGGGACTCCAATCCAGAACACTCACCTGGAAAGATGAGTGGGCATTCCTCTGGCTAGCACCCACTCACAAACCCATGCCCCCTGCCTTCTGCCTGCCAGGTCAGTCTCATACCTGCTAGTTGTGATCTACCTGCTGCTCATTGTTGTGGGGCAGAACTACATGAAGGGACGGAAAGGCTTCAACCTGCAGAAGCCACTCATCCTTTGGTCTTTCAGCCTTGCAATTTTCAGGTAAGATGCCCCTGTTCTGTCCTGTCCACCTTACCCCACCCTCATTGATCTATAGATGCCAGACCCTCATTCTATTCCTTAATGCTTTCTAGAAGCCTCAGTTGTATCAACTCTCAAGTTGCTCTGCAACTGTCTCCCCAGCCAACTTCTACCTCTATTATCTTTTTTATCTTCTCCACTCTAGTGCATTCTCTTGTGCTCAGGGAGTCTGTGTACTTCCAGTAAATTTCCTTAGATTTAATGCCCCCAGCTCCAAAAACCTTCTCCAAGACCTTCTAATAACTTCCTATTCCCTGACTCAACTTTCAGTACCATCCTACTGAGTTCACCGGTGTTTCTACATTTTCCTCTCCTCTACACTGCTGGTTGGATTGACTCCAGGATCTCAGAAGCTGTGACCTTTCCCCCCCAAAGATGGGGGAGGAGGGATTGAGCTTGGGACAGTGACCTGACCAGGTTGAAAAGAGGAGGATGAGTCTTACATACTTTTCCTTTTGTCCCATTTCAGTATCCTGGGGACAGTGAGGATATGGGGCTTTATGGGGATCCTGCTACATAAGGAGGGCCTAAAGCAAACTGTGTGCTTCTCCATCTTCATCCAGAATTCCATAGTCAAATTCTGGTCCACCCTCTTTCTTCTCAGCAAGATCATTGAACTTGGTGAGTGGCAAGGCTTTGTTTATTTGGTGCAGGATGAACTGCATCCCTCCTCAGAGTCCCCTTTCCCCCATGGATAGTCCCTTAACCCCCTGGGTCCTAATAGCATCTCTCACCCAAGCCCCTTTTCAGATTCTCTGCCACATAGACCCCCTCTTCCCACCCTGAACATTTCCCCCTTCCTCCACATCCTGTGTGTGTGTGTGTGTGTGTGTGTGTGTTGGGGGGGGGGGCTCCCAACATCCCAACACTTGCTAGCTATGACTCCTTGTCTTCCAGGAGACACAGCTTTCATCATCCTCCGTAAGCGGCCACTCATCTTTGTGCACTGGTACCACCACAGCACAGTGCTAGTGTACACCAGCTTTGCATTCAAGAACAAGGTGCCTGCTGGTGGCTGGTTCATGACCATGAACTTGGGTGTACATGCTATCATGTATACCTACTATACTCTTAGGGCCGCCAAGGTGAAGTGTCCCCGGCAATTCTCCATGTTTGTCACCAGCCTGCAGGTTCTGCAGATGTTAGTAGGAGTCATTACCAGCGTCCTGACTTACCTCTGGAGACACAAACAGGGATGTCATATTACAGAGGAAGAACTCTTCTGGTCCTTTATCTTGTATGCAACCTATTTCATCCTCTTTGCTCACTTCTTCCTCCAAACATACATCAAACCCAAGGACAGAGCCAAGATCAAGAGTCACTGAAGTGTTGAAAGAAAAGGAGCCCGGGCCTCTTTCCTCCCCAGGGCTGAGAGGGGCTGAGCCTAGAGTTGGGAGAATGATTAGAGTGCCTCCCTGCGCGGCTTCCCCATGGATGTGTGCCTCAGAGGCAGGAAATTATGACAGAGAAGAAGCAACATCTCTGGGATGGGCATGTGATCTAGTATTTTGATGTTTCTGGTTTTAATGTGAAGGCCCAGGATGGACTAAGAGGGGTCCCCAGAGCTGAGTTATTTATATTTCTATCCAGAAATCTTTTCTTCTTCTTGCTCTTTTTTTTAATTAAAGATTACAATACTATTTTTTAACTTTAGGGGCTTGGGGGTAGAAGGAGACTGCTGTGATGGGAGAAGACTGCTTGTGGTGGGATGAAGAGTGGCTGAGACACTGCAGAGGGTGTGTGGAAGGATGAGAGGCACACACAGACACTCAATAAGAATCCTAGGCCTGGTAGGCACTTCATAAATGTCTTTTACAGACCAGATTTTTATTGCTGTTAGAGGACCAAGCCCCTCATAGGAACAGTGAGAAACAGGTGGAGAAAGGCGGAGTGACTTTTCTAGGGTCGTAGGTTTCCTTTCGGGTGCGACTAGATCTTCAGTTTTCCTCCCTGAGACCACGAGGTGGCACCGCAGCATCAGCTTTGGCCGACGCCACCGAGTAGATAGTAGCCTTTGCCCGAAGCAAAAACGCACGCTCGCGTGCGCCCCTAAACTCCAGCAATCTCCCCGACTTCCGCGTTCTAGCGTTGCGGGGACTGGAGCCCTAGATGCCTGAACCCGCACCTCTTCCAGTACATCCAGCTCCCTTTTAGACACGGGAGAGGATGAGGGGAGAGAGCTCAACCGCCACTCTGAATCATCAGGCCTTTGACAGTCCGCGCACGTTTATTTCATTTATCTTTGAAAACGGGGGAGGGGGAATCTGGAGAAGGCGGGGCAGGCCAAGGGTGAGTTGGCCCCCGGGGAACTGGTCCCTGTTCCTGGCCTTAGTCCCAGGGGCGCGGACTGTGCTTCGGGCCCAGTCCACCCCTCAGGGCTGGGAGGGGGAGGCTGTCTCCAGAGCCCACTCCACCCCCCCACCTGCCCAGCGCCCCTCTCAGAGCCTGGGTCCGGGGCAAGCCATTCCAGAAGGCCCTAGTCCGGGGAGACTGTGAATCATCGCCCCCGCCCTCGGGGATGATCGACGGGGCGGGGCTGCTCATACCGGCCGCTCCACGGCGTACTGACAAGGACTGAGGTTGGCGGCCGGGGGCGGCCCGGGCACCGCAGGGTAGCTAAAAGAGGCGTGCTGTTTGGCTTTGAGCCGCAGGCTGGCCAAACTCGAGTTACACGGGTCCCGGTAAACGTAGGGGGAGGAGGCGGCGGCGGCGGCGGCGGCGGCGGCGGAGGCATAAGGGCAGGACACCGTCCCGGAGGACACTGCGGCCGGAGCCAGCCCCGGGGGAGCGCCGCCCAGGCCTTGCAGGGCCCCGGGCCCTGGCACGGTGCCCGGGGCGGCCGCAGCGGAGGGCACCATGGAGGCGGCGATGGAGCTGGGTGGCGAGAAGACGGGCTGTGAAGCCAGGGGCCCCACGTTGACCGAATTGAAGGCGAACGGGAAGGTCTTGGCGGCGAGCGGTGGGCCGAGGGCCTTGGGTGGCCAGTTGCCGTATGAGTACCCGGGGTACACCTCCTCGTAGGGTGGCACCAGCCCCCCGAGCGGCGCTGCAAAGCCGCCCTTGCACAGCTCGGCCTGTTGGCTGCGCTCGCGCTTTCGCCACTTGGCGCGCCGGTTCTTGAACCACACCTGCGGGCGCGGGGGAAAGGCGGTCAGGGCCCAGCGCCGCGAGGGGTTGGGCCCGCCCGCGCGACTCGCGGCGGGTCGCCCAGCCCCCACCCGGGCCTCGCGGGAGAGAAGCGAGACGAGCCGTCTGCAGACGCGAAGGGGGTCGTGGCGCGGCCGGACGCGGCGGGAGCGGGGAGACGCACAGTCGGGGGAGCGAAGCAGTGGGCGGCAGGACGCAGCCAGTGGCGACAGGGTGTGGGGGGACACAGTAGGGCGGGGTGAAGGAGGGGCAAAGAGGCGAGGTCGGGGCGTAGAACCGTAGGCCTAGAGTGAGAGGGGCAGAAGCTGGAGGTTGGTGGAAAGCTGGCCACGCGGGACTTCGGGAGTTGGGTCGAGCTGGGCAAAATCCCTGGCTACTAGTTTGCAGACACTCGCCGAGCAATCGGCGGCCCGAGGCTCGGGTGGGGTGCGGGGTTCGGGTCTGGGACTGCCGTACCCGCACGCGGGCCTCGGTGAGGTTGGTCCACACGGCGATCTCTTCTCTAGTGCTCATGTCCGGGTAGCGGTTCCTCTGGAAGGTCGCCTCCAGCTCCTGCAGTTGCTGGCTGGTGAAGTGGGTGCGCTGGCGCCGCTGCTTCTTCTTCAACGAGCCATCTTCTGGGGAGCCACCCGGCAGCGAGGCCGAGGCCTTCTCGGAGTCTGGGGGCCAGGGCAGGCACAGGTAACAGGACACCCTGTCCTGAGCGGATTCCTGGGCTGCTCCACAGCTCCCTCGCTCCCACCCAGGCTTCCAAGCTCCCGGTGCCACCCACACTAGGAACTGAGCCGTTCTCTTCACCACTACTACCACCACCCCAGAAGGGGGCGAGCTCACCGCTGTGCTCTTGGCCCTTGCAGCCGTGTTCTGGAAGGGGGGGGTGGGGCGTGCCCGCATCTGACAGCGAGAGGGCAGGGCTCCGGGCCTCCGCCTCGCTGAGCAAGCCGAACTCCATGGAGGAAGGCCTTTGGAGGGAAGAGGAGGCACAGACCAAGTTAGTGGGGACACACATCTCAGGGTTAGCCTGTTCCCAGTAGTGTATAAAACTACCCCTGTGGTGGTACCCTAGGATAGAATAGGGAAACAACAGCTTAAGGGTGAAAAGGTGTATACTCAGGTTTATGTGCAGATCGAACCACTAGACTGTGTCATTTTTTTTTTAACTGCTAGTCACCAACACCGACTGATGAACAGATGATGTTCAATAGATACTAAATTTATGGAAATCACACTGTTGCACACTACATACCTTTTACCAAATCCTCAAAAATGACAATTCCTCTTACATGAATGTCCAAAATCTACTGATAAATTAATAGCTACTCCTCGACTAGACACACCCGAGACACAGACCCAATCTGTTATTCATGCTCCTTAGGGCAGAGTTGCTTTTTGAACTAGAAATGATATTTTTCTAATAAGGCTAATCATAGTTATCAATTATTAGTTCTCACTATGTCCCTTTACCTCATTATTGCTCCCATCACAAGAATGCATCAAAATTATACTAAGCCTCCCTGGAGGCACAAGGGGTTAGGTCTCAGCACTATGAAGCTATGGGCAGCCACTGCAGCATGAGCTCCCCCCGCTAGGGAGGGAGCTCATGGCTCAGCAGACCTCTCCTGTCTCACCCGCTGCTCCCCTCAGCAGTGTATTTCAGTGGATTTGCCTATTCTGCTCCCCACTCTGTCTCTGGTGAATCCTCTCACCACCCCTCACCACCTGCATCTTCATCCTACACCCCAGCTCTTGTATGCATACACAAATTAAATAAATCTTTAAAGAACGAAAAAAATAATAAGTACTATCACCCCTTTCAGGTGAGGAAACTGAGACTTGAAGTAACTTGATTAAGGTAACAGAGCTTGTAAGTAGTGGAATTTGAACCAGGTCTGTGAGACTCCTAAACTAGCTTTTCTTCATTAGCTTTTCCAAATTGTATTATTTGGGACCAACCCAGAAACCCTCCTGGGGACTCTACCCCAGGGCTAGCACCAAGACTAGAACTCTAGACAGACCTTACTTGTGTCAGCTTCAACTAAGGCAGCCTTTTTCCTGTTTTGTTTATGCTTTCTGGAGAGATCTCATTTGAAGAAAGGATTCCAGGAGAAAAACAAGTTTGAAAGTCACTAAGCATTCAGGGCCTGCCTGCTTCTACGCAGCTCAGACACACATCACCCACTATTCAGTGCTCCACTCTCACACAGGCCCCCGTTGGGATCACCCCTGGCAGCAGACATGGACTTCTTAAAACCATCTTGCTACTCCATACCCTAAACTTCTCCTGAAGTTTCCCAGGTGCCTTTCTGAATCCCTCTCCAGGTCTCCCCTTTCCTGTTGGCTGTCCCCCTCTGATAGTAGGGCAGGAAGTAGGGAAAGGGTAGTAGTGGGGTTCAAGAATTCTGGATGCCCCTTGGTTAGAGGAGGCGAGAGACAGAGGAACAGGATGAAGAGCTGAATGGGAGGGGTCCGTCTGCCTCCACCATAGCTTCCCCATTAACAGAGACTTAATGCTTGCCGTGCAGGGTGGCATTAATGTAGCGGATTAGCCTAGATTGAGATGTGTGTCACTTGGCTGCCCTGAATTTATTAGGAGCCTTTCTCAGGGAGGCGCAGATGGGTAGTGGCCTGTATTTGCTCATGATAATGCCCCCTTCAACTAGCTCAGAGATGACAGCTGCCCCCCACCCGAAGTGAGATTGGGGGTGGGACAGAGGTTGATACAGGAGGTTGAGAAACAGTCCTATTCTTTCTGTAGGCAGAGGGGACTAGACCTTGAACCTTTTCCTAGGGCTGAGAAGCAGAGTTAAAGAGAACCAGAGAAGGAACGGAAGAAATTAGGTCAGAGGCGCTCAGCTCACCTCCCCTTCCAGGTCTGAGATCAGGTATAGGGCTGGCCCAATATTGCTCCAATAGAAGGCAGAAGCCCTTGGGAGGGATTTGAGGCAACTTGGATAGAAACTCCTCCCGAATAGATGAGAAGGCTTAGAACTGAAAGCTGGAAAAGGGGTGCTCTGAAGTCTCCTCTTAATTCATATCGAAAATACCCTCAAGCTACAATCCATGTCCCTGATTTCTCCAGAGGCCACGGGAGCAACATGGACCTGGGTAAAGAACAGCTGGGTTTGCTTGTAGAGAAAGCAAAATCCCACCATTGCTATCCATCCTTCCAGTCTGCTTTGCCTTCAGACTCAGTTTTCCAAACTCCCCTTCCCCCAGCATTCCATACCTGCGTCTTGGTTTCACCCTTTATTTCAGCAGAGGGAGGCAGGGTGAGGAGAGAGAAAGGCCAGAGTAAAGGATGGGCCGAGAAAGCAGAGCTCAGGCCGTGTGTTCCAGAGACAGACAGACACATATGCAGCCACATACGGGCCCCCACTCAGACAAAATAAGCACTTGGACTTGGAGCGAGAGGCATACAAACACACACTCTCCCACACAAGCGTTCCCACATTCAGGCAGACAGACGCACACCGTCACACAGTCTCCTCTCTCTGTGACAGGGACAGCTGCCTGGGCTGTTTTGGAGCTAGCCATTACCCTTCCCCCTCCCTTTCCTGGCCCCTCTGAACCTCAGCTCTCAGTCTCAGAAACTAAGGACTCTGTGGGGGAGGAGGAGGCCGAAGGGGCCAGGGGAGCGGACTACACTCGGCGGCGGCTTCTGAGGGTGGAGGTGCTGTTTAGCTGGGAGGAGAGAAGGCTGGGGAAAGCTGGAGGGAGAGGACAAGAGGACAAGAGGACAGGGGCAGCAGAAGGGACAGCGACTGTCCAGGCCTCTCTTAGGGAGCCACGGATCTGGCTATAATTTAGTTAAAGATCGAGATATGCTAGCTGTTAACAACCAGTATATCTGAAAAATAAAGTGAGAAGGAAGAAAACTGAAGAAAATAAAAGGAAAGAAAAGAATGACAGGTAATAATCCATGCTAAGAAAAAATAGATAACGCAGAGTACAAGTAGCCAATCATTTTGATTGTTCAATTGATTAATGTTATTTTTCAGCTAAATTATAAATGTGAACTATACACTTCACCTTCAGGAGGGAGTTATACGTAGCGTTCTGTATAGGTTCTATTGTAAGATGATCATTCACAGTTTGTGAAAAAAGCATTCTGTAGCATGCAGCATCCATTTCAATTTTGCATTGAAGTGCTAAGTGTTTAGCATTTGTACAATAAATTAGTGTTTGTTATCAGAAAAGAAAGAAATTTAGTTTAGAATTAAAAGTTTTAGGTTCGTGTCCTAACTCCCCAATTTACTAGATGCGTGTACTTGGCAAATTAATTTACCTCTTTGGCTATGTTTCTTCATTTTTCAAAAGAAGATTATAATCCCTTCTCAATTTACAGTCAGTATTGTTTTAACATAAAATAAAACATAACATGTAAAAATGGGTAGGGGTAAAATGCTATTCAAGTATTATTTTTCTCCTTCATTTACAGATGTCTGTTTAGCATCTTTTCTGAGCTGGGCATTGAGCAAGGCACTAAAGACACAGTGGTAAACAAGATTTCACCTGTTTTTTGTCCTTACTAGAATAGCTCACCTCCTGAGACCTTATATCTCCCAGTAACAAATTACTCTGGTGAATAAAAGGGGAGTATACTATATTTTAGGGAGGCATGCTAATGTACTTTGTCCTGAACATAAAGGAGAATGCTTTATGTAATTAAGGTAATAACAAAATGCAGAACAACCCAAGTTTGTAGTTACTTTGGGGACCAGGCACTGGCAAAGGAAATCTTCTGGCTCGTGACTAGATTAGTAAAAAGAGAGATGATGAGGTTGAGAAGGCTCTGACTGAAACTGAAGAGAAAAAGCAACAACACTAAAGCCAGGCAAGCAATAGAGAGATACAGGGTGGGAGCACTGTCCTCTCAGACTTTTGTCCTGGTGGGCTGGTCAGGCAGAGGCTGGGGGCGCCAAGCTGTTATTTGAGATGGAGACAGGCTGGCTGAGGATTAAGCTCCCCCCAAACTGCTGGAGGTCAGGAAGCTGGGGAGTTGGGCCCGAGGCCAGTGACTTTGCCTTACTCAGTAGGGCTGGGTCTGAAAGCTACAGGGCTGGTTGAAGCTGGTAGGAATACACCAAAGAGAGTCAAGAGATAACAGAGCTGCTCAGTCCCGCTCTGGCAGAGGCTGCCTGTGTCATTCTCAGCCTTCTTGACTACTCTGCCAGGGTTGCAAGGCCAGGCCCCAGGGGGTCAGGGATCAGGGGGCAATCCCAGCTCTAGGAAAGTGTTCTCTGACTGAAATACAGGCTAGAATTCCAGAAAGCTGTCATGGATTATGGTAACAATAAAATATCTAAGATATATTCAGGTGAGAAGAGACTGTTAAAGGGCAGACAAATTGCAGTAGGGAGATAATATTCCCAAGGAACATAAAAAATAGTCAAGGTGGCAATTACCATGTGGGCCCATTCTTGTCCTAAAGCCACCACAAGAAAGCCCTCAAGTAGTTGCAGTAATAATGACCCCAGCAGGAGGTACACCTGGAACTGAAGTGGAAAACACCCTTCTACCTGCATATACGAAATATGCAAGGAGGAGGATAAGAGAGGATGGGATTTTGATATTGATGGTGGTGGCACAGCTCAGCAAGCAGCAAGGTGGGGAACAGGGCCCTAAACTAACAGTCATCCACTAAACCTGAAAATGAAGTGGGCCTTAAGTGCACATGGCCTCATGTTCATTAGGGTGTATAACACTCAAACTGTCTGGTCTGCTGAGTGGCATTGAGCAAATGGGAACAAATGGAGACAGCTGTAGACAAGGCTCACATCCCCCAGAGGAAGTCTTCAGACTCATATGAAGGCAGCAATGATTTGATGCACTTAATTTATCATGGGGTAAATAAGGGATAAGAGAAACGGACCCCCAAATGCTTACCTCCCTTTCTTTTCTATGGAAAGCTAAGGTGCTAAGGCAGAATAAGACACAAACCCTAACTTCTAG